GTACGCGGAGTATCTGGGGAGCTGGAAGATGAGAACTGGCGACTTTGCAGTACTACTTTAGTACGCGGAGCAATCTGTGGAGCTGGAAGCTGAGAACTGGCGACTTTGTACAACTTTAGTGCGCGGAGTATCTGGGGAGCTGGAAGATGAGAACTGGCGACTTTGTAGTACAACTGTAGTACGCGGAGTATCTGGGGAGCTGGAAGATGAGAACTGGCGACTTTACAACTTTAGTACGCGGAGCAATCTGGGGAGCTGGAAGCTGAGAACTGGCGACTTTGTAGTACAACTTTAGTACGCGGAGTATCTGTGGAGCTGGAAGCTGAGAACTGGCGACTTTGTAGTACAACTCTAGTACGCGGAGCAAGCCGTGGAGCTGGAAGCTGAGAACTGGCGACTTTGTAGTACAACTTTAGTACGCGGCTGAGTCATCTCTATTCTGTATTTTGCAAAAATGCATGAACAGCGTTTTTTCCTGCGAGACAGTTGACGGTGGTTGCTTCGCTTGCGCTCCATTGGTCGGTTCCAACTTGTTTTGTCAAAGAGCATCGCAGCTCGGCGAATCAGCCTGCCACATGCCCATTTCCTATAGGCTTATTCTTTTGGAAACTTCCGCCGCCGGCTTGCCCGGGAACTACTTGTATATATAGTCATAAATATATATAGTTTTTTACACTTCCAGGTTCCTGGGAGCCGCAAATCCAAGGCCTTTGGTGACCGAACTGGTGGCTCGCGAGATCCCTGTGAGTTACTTTGTCCATGAGACGGTACGCGAAGTCGTTGAAGCGACTGGTGCCCAGTGGCATGCTTTGCTTGACCCCCAGCGTTTGACAGAGGAGGGTGGGGCAAATCAGGGTCAGAGTGTTGAAATCTTTCAGGGGTTATGCCTGGGCTTTGTCGTCCAAAATGTACTTACAGTAACCCACAGCCTAAAACTTTAGAACTGGAACATGTTGAAACAGGTGTTCGGCCTCTGGACCTGCAGAGGAGCAACTGCAAAAGTATGTTCCAGACCAGACGCCCAAAGAGGATTACGCCTTTCCGCTCTCCTCGCTGGTCTTCTCAGCCTCTGAAGCTCCAGCTTTGATTGCACAGTTGAGGACTTTGAAGCCACTCCCATCGGTGATCGTCTATGATCCCTTCTTGCCCCTGGGTCTCCTGGCCGCGCGAGAGCTCGGCATCCCTGCCGTGGCGACCGTGACCATGGCCGGACCAGGCGTGGTGGAGGTGCATCCGCCCGTGCAGCAGAAGTGGGAGTCGAATGCCGTATCACGAAGAGCGCGGCAGGAAATCAAGGAGCTCTACAACTTCGACGTGTTTGCACACGGATCCTTTTTAGAGTTCTACTCTCCAGATCAGAACATCGTCACCACCTGCAAGTCTCTCTACACGGGTCCCAAAACTCCGCTTCAACAAGAACGCTTTGGACACTTCTCCTTTGAAACTAGGCGGTGTTTTGGACTAAACGTTTGTATCCCTACCATGAATGGACATGAATGGACATGCGCATGAATCTCCCGATGGACTCCGTCTCAACTCTTGGGACATCTGACAAATCTCCAAGGAATGTGTGGGGCCACTGCTGAACCCCAAGATCTTACGGCTCTCCAACGCGGAGCTCACGCACTCGGCGGCGCCCATGCTGCCACGGGAAGTGGATGCAGCGCGAGCTGCAGGCCGACGGATCCTGTACGTTTCGGCCGGGACCGTGGCCACGGGGCGACTGTGGAATGAGAAGTTTGGCCCGAAGGCAGGGTGGAAGAAAGGCGAAGGGTCTCTTGGATTGGCCATTCTTGTAGATCCTGTTTTTGGAGTCATGTAGTAAGCTCGTTTGCTATTTTGGATTATATTTGAAATTGGTTGAAATGCTTCAAGAAATCCTGCCTTGAGGGAACTGGGTGTGTGTAACCCTGCTCAGGGCTTGTCCAATGGCCTTAGCGAGTGCACTGGGAAGGAGTTGATTCAGCTTCTCTACCGCACGGTCTTCGAGGCCTTTGGTGGTGCAGAGGATGTGCTTCTTGTCGTCAGCACTGCTCGAGAAGATGCGTTGGAAGGCTTAGATCTTCCGAACAACCTCGTGGCACGACCTTCTTTGCCGCAACTGGAACTGCTCCCCAAATGCCATGCCTTCATCACCCATGGAGGTGCCAACAGCATGCACGAGGCGCTCACCTTTGGCGTCCCCATGGTCGTTGTGCCCATCTTCGGCGATCAGCCCTCCAACGCCGACGCCGTGCGACGCGCGTGGTGTGGCGCCGGAGACTTTCGACATCCGCTGCAGAGCTTGACGTCGCAGGCGTTGCTGGAGGCGGTGCAGCAGTTGGAGCTGCCTGGCGTCCGGGAGGCGTTGAAGGACATGCAGCGGGATCTCCAGGCGGCCGGGGGGGTGACGAAGGCAATGGATCTGGTGCTGGCAGCAAAGAGGAGAAACACTTTAGAGGAGGCACCCTTAGGCGGTGCTTGAGAAGCGAAGAAGGAGGACTTAGTTTCTTTGGTTTGCCACCATGTCGAGGTATGCCCATGTCGAGGGACAGGGCGGAAGTGCTTTTGGATAGTTGCCCACAGAGGCGACAGGGAATTTGATTGTAAAGATGCATGACAGCGTTTTCTTGGTGATCTTGAATCTTGATCATATTGATGAAGGTATCAACAAAAGATGACTTGGTGAACGCACCGAAGAAGAATGGTCCTACAGATCGTGTTTTCACAGCCGGCCAGTCTTGCTTTATACTCGGTCATAAATCATTAGTGACATGTTCACGGATGTTTCAATACCAGGATCTTGTGGACGTTTTTGGGATTTGGTCTTGTGAATCTTGTGGCATTTCTGGAGGTGGCTTCGACTTCCGACTGCACAAAGCGCGAGACCTTGATCGCGTTGTGGCATGGCGTTAGGAGTGTTGCCTTTGTCGGTGCGCAGGCCTTCACCAAGCAACATCCAGCAACTTTATAGTCCCTCAGAGTTCAGATAAACGGATCTCCCCACCACTTTTGATGCACTAGGCTGTTTCAAGATGTTTCGTGGTCAGATCAGATCAATCAACATGAGATGTTAACTTTCAACATGCCTTTCATGTCAGAAGACTGCCCCAGACATGGGCACCCACTGTGGGTGCTATTGCTGCTACTGGTGGGTGTCTCTGATCCCTCTCTGACAGGGCCCAAAGTCGCCCATGTGGGTTCGAAACTTGCAAAGGGAACCGAAAGCTGTACCAAGCAAACCTGAACCGGAAAAAGCACCATGAAACACCACGAAACGCCTACAGTAGGTTTGCCTAGATTCCGAGGAAGGTCGATTTCCCAAGTACAGGAACCCTGGTGACATCACCGTTCGTTTGAGCCGTTTCCGAGCGAAGGAATTCCGCCGATGAATCTGTGCCTTCGGTCCAAGCCGTTCTTGCTCTACAGGCAATGATGCTGAAGGTGAGTCGATCGTGGGATGCTCAGAACAGATCCCTAAAGAAACAGATGGAAGTGGTTAGGCTGTTATGTAAAACCACTAAACCAAGAAGATGTCTGGAGGATATACCCCCCGCGAAAGTTAAACATGGAGTTCGCGAAAGATTCGCGAAAGTCAACTTTTTATTGGCGAAGAATTGCCTTTCAGCAGAAAGGAATTTTGATCAACCACCATATATACAGTTGTAGAGGCGATAACAGAGACCATATGGCCACAAACGTTGCCTAAATGGGCGGTGGGTTTTTAATGACCATGCCCATGTTCTCTTTGGGATGAGGAGGGTCAACCCCTTCCACCAGAATGGGCAATGTGATGCTTTTCATGTGTTTGTTAAGGAAGGTTTACACTCCCACTCACTAACATGGGGATAGAGGTTTCCCACTGTTCGTAGAGCAAAACACTCTGCCCGGCAGCTCTTTGATGCTATTTTTCCACTTCCATGTTAGTCCTAGATGCCAAGGGTGTAGTGTCAAGAGTGTAGTGCATTTTTCCATGTTTAGCTATTTTTATGGTCAGAGTGTCGTGTCCGTGCGATGCCGTCGTCGCCATGTCTCCCACATCCGCCTCCATTCCCAGGCTGGACGGGCAGAGGCGGGTGGACACCCGGAGATAACCGGTTTGGGCATGTTCTGGGCGAACATTTACTGTATAGAACCTTGTAGAACTATATATTCCACAGGAAAATTTGGGACATGTTTGGACCTGTTTGGGAAGAAACTGCTTCATCTGTGCGAAGCAACTGCCATGCTTGGTTTTGACACAGTTCCTGCCCAAGGGAATCTGAGGGTGAATCCATAAACCATGAACGCAAGTGAGAACCAACGTAACATCTGCAGATGACCAAGGTCTGGTCTGGAGCTGTTCTTCTGAGAGTAACTATCAGGGAGGGTCGTTTGGAGATTAATTGGATCACACCTGCAGGACAGCCTGGTCACACCCAAAGTAGGAACTGCAGTTGGTTTTGACCAAGACATGCACCTTCAGGACGAACCAGTGGAAAGCCCACAATGGAAAGCCCGCAATCTTCAGGCACGGATGACGCGCATCATGAAGAGAAGAGAGGACTTCAAATCCTTGGAGGCGCCTGGGCGAGAGCACTTTTGTTTCCAAGTCCGCGCTTGGGGCCTTGTCAGGCTGGTCTGTTTGGCGAACTCCAAAGCTTTTTCCAAGCCTTGGATGCTTTGAGACCTTAAGAGGCCGATGTTTTCCAGGGTTTAGCCAAACAATGAACCCATTTGGATCACAGCTTGGGCATTTGCTTGTCAAGCCAACATGCACCAGGAAGATGCTTCGGGGCATCCGGGTGTGTCTTTGCATAGTACGGAGACCTCCTGACCCTCGCCCCTGGCTGGATCCGAACCTTCCAGGGGGTCGGAACGCCGGCGGTTCGGTCTTTTTTTTTAATACACGCCATATGATCCCATATCCCAGACGCCACCCATGGGACTGCCACTGCCGATCCAGACCCTGTTTCAAGCACCACTGATCGGCATAGATTCTAGTCCCATGGAGTGTCTGGGATATGTATAGATTTGGGTTTCCGGACATTCCACCTGATATCCCTCAAAACCTGTGGCTTGCCATAAAAACGGATCCTAAGCCATGGCGACAACACCAGCCAGGCCGGTCCTGTCGATGGGTTGCTCATGGTGGCGGATGATGATGCGGAGCTCACGCAAGAGGCTAGACAGCTGCGCCGCAGGTGTAACTCCATCGGTGGTAGGCGCCGGCGCCACAGTCTTTGCAATAGGGCATAGGTCCTGAAACTTCCAAATCCTGAACCCAAACAATTGGAATTTCCAGGGTGTTTGGTACGTTGTACATATTATACGTATAAATAGCAATAAAAAAACATTTTATTATATGTATTTGCAAAGCAAGAGGCACAGGCGATTTCCGCCATGCTCAAGCTCCAACACCTCAGCCAGGTGTTAGAGCTCTCTTTGCCACGCCTCGCGTACGGCGGGCGCGTGGCGATGTGGCCCGGCGGAGGTGGATTCATGGGCCGTTGATGGCGACAAAGAAGAGCAAGTTGCGACCACGTTATGGATAGGGATCTTGTTGCTACTGTAGTAGTAATGGCCTCCAACTTAATAGCGATGGCCTCCAACCTACTAGTAGTAATGGCCTCCACCCTAGCTTCTTGTTCCTTATCTTGGGATCTTGGATGATCTTGGTACCAGGATGGATCACCAAGATGACGTTGGAATGGTCATCCCCAAACAGAGACCTTGATCTGATCCCCCGTTCATGTCGGGATGTGATTGTGCGCTGACCTGGTCGGGGGATGTCTGATTGGAACAGTATAGATGGACACTCAAAATCACCCAAATAAGCAAAGTCTTTTGGAGAATCCCTTCATGCTCACTCTTATTGTTGCTTTTGGCCGCGTTGCAGTACAACAACCCCCAAACTAATTTTCACATCCTCAAGTTTCAACCAATTACCCTTAGACCCTGAAAAGGAACAAACCCATTGCAACCTATCGATCTTTAGCGTTTAGCTCCGATTGTTCTCGAATCCCATTCCGTGGGTCCAACGCGGCATCCTCGACAGGAAATGGGGAAAACGGCCGACCTTGGACCGCTCTGGGGAAAATGGTTTCCACCTGTTCCCATCCACAGTCGTCCATGTTTTTTCCTTCCTTTTCCTCCAAAAACATCCTACCCTCCTGGCTCCTGGTTCAGAAGGAACTCCCACATCTGGGCGTCCACTCGAGGTTTGGCCACCACTTGCAGTGGGCCCGGCGACCTTACCGGCCACCGGCCACGCGCCGCGCGCTGAAGAAACCACGTCAACGGCGGCGCAGCGACGGGGCGCTCATGCTCGCCCCCCCCGTTCGGAACGTTTTCCCGTCTCCTTCGGACCCCTTCGCCGGATCGGTGGAACCGCGTGGGAACCGCGTGGGAACGTCCGTCACTGCGGTTGGTCTTCGCCAGGCCCTTGGCGGCCCTGCAGGGGGCCTGGCGCGCCAACGGCTCGTTCGTGGACGTGCGGCTCACGCAGCTCTTCACGCGGGAGTTCCAGGCCGCGAAGGATCGCGAAGGTCATGAGGGACGGTAATTAAGGGGGGGCGAGGTCGGTGAGGGGGCGGGTTTGGCGGGAGGGGGGTGGGTTTCAGTTTGCCCCTCAAATGACTGAAATATGGATCCAATATGTCCAATGGGTGCTCTGATGGAGTAGAGAGGAGTCCGGAATGATCATGAATGCAGAAAAGCCTAGGGTTGAGGATGTGAGGTCTTGTTGGACGAGCTCAGAACTGCACCTCATCTTTTGCAAGTCCTATCGCCATGCATGGATGTCTATGTGTTTTTAGGGGTGTCAATCTCTCCACCTGAGCGCTTGATGGACAATTTAATAAGCACCACGAATTTGATGCTGGCTGTTTTCCTTTTTTTAACATATGTTTACAAAATATTGTTTGATGACTACTCGTGGGCTTTGCAGTTGACTGTGGATGTACCTCTGAGGACTCACTTCGTCTATTCTATTGTTCTGACAACAAGTTCATGGATGACATTTTAGTTATATATGTTCTGTTATGTTCACTAAAAGGAACAAACGATTGAGAGTTGTTACATGTTTGAACGGAGTTGTTCACCCTGTTCATCCATAGACAGAGCCCTTTTTCGTGGGCAAAATGACATACACGTGCATGTGGGGGACAGGTAGCTGTATGTATAGCTCTACACTAACCCCGGCGGGTCGGGGAAGATGCTCTTGGCCTTTGTTCCAGCGAGACGACCACTTGGTGCGGTCCGCGGTGCGGTCGGAGTGCGGACACACATCCATCAGGCCTTGCCCTCGCGGACACATCCCTTCATGGCCAGAGTCTCACCGAGTCGAGCCTGGTACCAGATAGCTTTGTTCAGGTGGTTTCACTCGGTGGGATCATGAGCTCCTAGCCTCGATCAACCTTGTATAGTGATGTATAGTAGGGTATCCCTTGGAAGTGCAGATCATGTGCAGATATGGCATTTTTCTATGCAGTGCTGATGAGAGAAGTTGGATGTCAGCAGGCTCTTTGATCGCTGGAGTGACCCTGTCTCAACCCTTCGGACCGCGACCGGACTGCACGACCCTGGAGCGCCGAGGTCGCGGAAGCTCAGCTGTGCGAAGGCTTCATCCTCTGCGCCAGCAAGGCGGCCGCACCGGGTTTAAGCGCAATGCGGCATTGGCATTCCCCAACGTTCCCCAGAAGCGCATGCGGCATGGTAGCATTCACTGTGATCAAGTGGTGAGGTCAATATGGAAACCTGTAAACTTCACAGACGGCCCAAGGACATATGGACTCTATGGACTCCAATCCTTTTGGTTTCTCCTTGAGAGCCTTTTTTGCGAGAGCTGACTAGTCGAAGCTTCAACATTATTTATCAATTTGTCCATTGTTGAAACCACTCATCAAACATCATCAAACCATTTCTCATTGAGCTCGCAGGAGGTGCGCATTCTGATTTTCCATTTTGCAGCCGCTTGCAGCCACTTGCAGCCACTTGCAAGTGGCTGCGAAGTGGTTGCAAGTGACTGCTACTTCTGTCTGGAGAATATCATGATTTCTCCGCACGTAGTTCTGAAGAAAACCAAGATTTCTGCAATGCTGTTCAGCAAAGAATTTCCGGTTTTCTCCAGAGCTGCGCGCGGAGAAATCATGAAATATTCCAAGGCTTTCCCAAGAATAAATTCCAAGCTTCTGCAGAGCTAGCGACGAAGAAATCTTACAGTTTTTACATAAAGAACTCAAAGTGCAAGTGTTGAAGTTTACTTGCTTGAGTGACAAGTGATTGCAAGTGGCTGCCAAGCGGCTGCCTGAGCAAGTGGCTCCGAGTGACTGCAAAAGCAAAACCAAAAACCAACATGTATGTCCTCTGCTCGCCCTCTTGCCATTTCTGCTGAAGCAGAACTCCCCATGCCCTGTGGATCCCTGTGGTGGAGCCGTGAGTTTGGACTAAGCAACCATCCCCTCATGGTGCTGTGTTGGATAACTCTTTGAGCATCTTGGTTCGCATGGCTCAACCTCCATGTTCAACTCGCCCCCGCCAGGTGGTTGGAGTTGCGACCTCAGAGGGACAGCGACCTCAAGCGGGCTTGGACACCTCTTTTCTGACCGCCATGGCAGTCGCCTTGTGGGATCTGATTGGTAGAGTTTCAACTGAAGAGAGCACCTGGCGAAGCGAAGCTTATGGAACTTGGGCACGTGTCCAACTTTCTGCAGAAATCACCTCAATTTGCATAAATCACCACTCTGCCAGCCACTGGGCATATGCTGGCCGAGACCGCTTCTAACACCGCACCAATTGGCCGAGACGGCCTCGTCTGCGTGGCCGCACGACCCGACGTGGTCGCTCGGGATGACCAGGAAGAGCCCCGTAACGACGAGCCGCCGGTCTCTCAGAGGACGATGAGCGCCCGTGCGAAACGTCGCCGAAGAGGAGGAGCGAGGGCGGCATAGGCGAACTGGAACAGGAAAGATAGGCAGGCGACTCTGAGGGTATCCCTCCTCCGAAAAAGGAGCCTGGCCAGTTGTGGCTGCTTTCTTTTAGACAGATCCTGCACGCCACGTGGTAGCAATATAGTATGAGACCCTGTCATCGGAACCTAATCTGAGAGCCTCATGATTGGATGAGAACGGTCCAGTGAAGCATCCTTGCTTCGACTCAGCTCAACCCAAATGATTCTCAGCCCTTTTCTCACCTTCGCGACATCCATCCAAGTGTACACCCGCTTCATCCATCTACGATGTGCTTCAGCGCTCAGGCCAAGCAAGAAGATCTGTACCTGACGTGGAAGAAGCATCGCAAAAAAGAGTCGCTGGACTTCCAGGCTTTTTTTGAACCCCGGGCCACGCTATCATGACATTGAAGTCTTCGCTATTCGCTGCTGTGAGCTGCCGTGAATGAGTTACCCTGGAAGTCCAAGATCGTAACAATAAATGGACCTTGTGTTGTAGTTGTAGTGTAAAATCCTTCGTAACACTAAAATCCTTAGTAGGACAATGGTGGTTCGGTCAAAACCATTCGGACAATAAGCGTGGTTGGACTTGGAAGCCTAGGGTATACATATAGATACACCAAAAGCATCAGAGTTGTTTGATATAGAGACTGGTACCAGTTCACCTCGTGGTTAGTTGTATTGGTTGTTGCCATTAGCTTTGCTTCTTGCTTTCACCAGCGACAGTCGTTCAAACAAACATGGGCAATAGATGGCAATAGATGTTTGCTCTTGCCTAACCTTTTCTTGCACCAGCTGAGGTTAGATACCCGATATCGCCGATACCCCTTTTTTCAAGGGTAACACTGTTGCTGCTCTGCATGAGTTTGATGGTGTCTCTGGCTCCGAGCTTCTGGAGCAGCAACATGGAGCAAGCATCAAACTCTGAGCAACAGACACTGAAGTCGCAGGGCGAGAGACTTCAAGTTGATCATTTCAAATTCATCGCACTCCGCGCATTCCAAGTGCCATTTTCTTCGCCAAAGGAGAAACCGTAGAAGATGTCCCTTTCCGACTCGCTCTTCATGTTGATGCTGAGACGATACGTAAATGGGCTAAAGAGAAGAAAGGCTGAAGAAATACGGGAAAGCAGGACATCCTCTCCGAATCTGGTTTGCATACTACACTGCATACTACTTATTAACGACTAATTTACTTATATACTTTCAATAGTCTCAATAGTGCTGTCTTGTTCTTCCTCACCTCACCTGCAATCTACCCAGCATGATCAGACCTTCCCCTTCATCACATCTCGTTCGCGCCATGGGTGATTTCCCTGCGGGCTGAAGGAGGGTCAGAGCAGGCCAAACTGAGAGGCTTGGCACGTCCGCCATGCGATGCAACCTTCGCGGGATCTGCTTCGGAACACAGTGAACCTGCTTCACGACTCCATCCGCGAAGGGGCCGACCAGTCGTTTCAGGGTGCTCTTGGAGAGGTTGCAAAGATGGGACACACTGCAAAGAAATATCGGGCCTGAAATCTTGAGTGGCTCAACTCGTTTCTGACCAACTGATGCAAACGGAACCTTTTGTGGCTGCTTCATTTGCTATAGAGAATTCCCAAAGGTAAGATAAGGGTCACGGGATGAAGAGGAGAATCGATTGGCAATCAACACAGTGAGGGTTGGCGGAATCCCCAAGTAGAGACAATCTTTTTTGGGATTGATTTAGGTATGTTGATACCAGCAATACATTCCCTTGATTAATTTCAACTCATCTCCACATCTTTGGCTCAACGTTTGATTGTATGTATCCCAACACTGATTCCAGCATCAACTCAAGAGAGTTTTGCCCCAAAACACGCAGAACAAAACCCAGGAAGGGCTCCCAACCAAGCCCTGCAGGGAGCGCGTGCCACCCCACGGGAATCCAAGTCACCGGCCTTCCTTCTTTGCGTGTTCTTCCGATGTCCTCGCCCCAAAACATGAGACCTTTTCCTTGGAGCCAGCAGACACCAAGAATCGGGTTTTCAGCATTAGGCCAATGGACGTCCCAAGCGAGCTCTTCAGTGATGACGGGGTCAGCCCCACCGGCCCAGGGGCCTCAGGAGGTCCACATCGACGTATCTATCTGCAAAAGAAGACATGACCGGACCAGTTTTGCCACCAAGACACATGGGTGTGTCAGTGTGTATAGGAAGATCCCCAAGTCAATTGTTGTTTTTTGTCCTTCTTTCCAGGTCTTTTTCCGTCTTTGGGAGGTGTCTCCCTATTTCAATGCACAGATATGGGAGGTGCAAAGGGTTGGGAACTTCATGCAAGGAACTGATTCCACAGACACTTGTGCCCTCCATTTGTGGCGGCTGCGTTCTGAGGCCGCTCCGACTACACGCCTCGATTACGCCGCCGGAACCTCGGAGTAAGAAGTCCATAGAGACTATATGAGTGTGTATTGAAATGGGGAGACCGAGCCCCCGTTCAAACCCCTGGAAGAAGGAACATGGACCCGTCTACCCATTGGGTCTCCCCCTATTAAGATACAAACCCCCAAAACAACCCCAAAATCGAATGATCCGACATGGTCGGTTTGTCGGTCGACCCGCTCATCCAGGTCAGCCCATGCTGCTTATCCATTTGGACATCAACAAGTCTGGGCCGCCCAGCGGCTGTTTCCGAGACCCGCAAAAGGACATCCGAACTAGCTTGGCATGTCAAAGAGGTGTCAACATCGGATCTTTCTCCCACAAACACCCGTTGCCCGTGTTGCCTGGTGTGAGCGTGCCGAAGGTGATGGGAATAGGAGGGACCACCAGGGACCACTCTCTTTTTTGTTTCGAGCCTTTCCGTAGCTGCAACCGGGGCGTTCAGTAGTTGTGTATATAGTGACTATACGGTACTATACGTATATAGTTTCTTGAGAGATGGGCTTGACCACAGGATGGGCAGAACCCATCTGAATCGTGGCTTGAAAGGGGCAGCGATCACAAGTGGTCTTAGGGATCCGTGCCAAGAACCGTGCAGCTCCAATCCAAGCTGCTGTGGTACAGTTTGTTGCCTGCAATTGTATATACCTAAGAGTACTACTTACTGCAGGGTAGGGCCGTGTCCCTACCAAACACCCTGAATCAGGCCCTGAGAATATACTGACGGACTTGATTCATGAATCTAAGAGACTCTAACGGATTTCCATGACCTTGTTCTGAATGTGACCGCCTTTAGGCGCCTTGGGCTCTGTGTGTGAAAAGTGTAGACCGTTGAATCTCGATCGCGGTGCGCTCATGTCGTGTTGATTTGGTTTGTGAAACAGTTGTTCTTGGCTGCTGTTCTCATACAGTGGCAGCGGAGCCGGGGTAAGGTCCCGGCTCCACCCTGGCTGGATGGATCCTCTCCAGGTTGCCGACCCGTGGGGTCGCTATGCTGGCCTAGGACTTCAAGGAGCCTGCTCGAGCTTCCAAGGAGCGACAACAGGACCGATGTCTTTTGGACCACCTGGAGGAACAGGACACGGACCGCATGGGCCAGCCAGTGGTGGACCACGGCCGAGTTTTCAGGGGGACGCTTCACAAAGAGGTCACCTTGGTTTACAAAGCTCAGCTGTTGGGAAAGGCTACCAAAACCTACCTTCTTCGAGCCCAATACCAGTTTTTACACCTGGTGCGAATTTTCATGGTCAGATGCCATCTAGTGCCCCGAATCCTCAAGGATCGAAGGGACAAGCTGGAGGTTTTCCCAATTTGGGAAGTAATGTTCCTCTGGCAACCGGAAACGGCTCTGGCGACGTTTTTCCAGGTGTCCAACAGCAGCAGTCAAACTCAACACAAGGAACATTGAGTGCAGCAATGTTGGAACAGTTGAATATGGCTATGGCACCTCCAACGACACCCCAAGTGCAAAGCGCTTTCGACATTCTGGGCAAAACCCCAACTTTGCAGAGTGCACCTCCAAGTGATAGCAATGCTGTGATAATGAAAGCACTCACTGCTGCGTTGACTGGAGATCGCAAGACTTTGCCAGCTTGGTCGGGTGCCCCAGAAACGTTGCGTAGTTGGTTGAGGCAATTGTCGCTCTGGGAACTGGATAACAACACCCCAAAAGAGCGCTGGGGTTTGAAGATCATGCAGAGTTTTCCAGAACAATCCATTCCCCGTCGACTTTGCGAAACTATTGACATTGGCATCCTGTCGAGCCCTCAAGGGTATAGTGCAGTGCTGTCAGCTATCCTCCAGAAATATGGGCCATACATTGAAGCAGCAGCGCCTGCAGCCATTGAGAACTTCTTCTATGCTGGAGAGCGCCAGAGGGGAGACACATTCTCCTCATACATAGCTGCCAAAGAAGTGGCCTTGCAAGAGCTGGAGAGCAATCTAGGTGAGAAGCTGCCGTCGAAAGTTGCTGGACGAATCTTGTTGAGACATGCTGCGTTGACAGATGTACAGCGGGAAAGTTTGGCGATCAAGTACCAGGCGATGATGACTTTTGACCAAGCTGCTTCGGCCTTGAGGCCATTGGACCGCCCTGAGGCTCTCATCAACAAGGTGGCAAAGAACTTTGTCACTGGGGCTACTGAGAGTCACAGAGAGCCGTCCTACTGGCCGGATGATGAGGAGTTTGAAGAAGATGACGAGGAACTGTTGCCCGACGACCCTTGGGCCGAATCTCCAGAGGCTCCTGAGGTCGATGAAGAAATCCCCACACATTTTCTGCTGTTTGATCCTGAACAAGAGTATACAGAAGAAGAGGCTAACTACATTTGGGCCTACAGCAGTGCGTATAAGGACATCCGGAAGGAGCTTCAGTCGAGAAGAAAAGGCAGAAGTTTCTTCAAGCCAAAAGGCCGAGGCCACGGTGGAGTAGGCAAGAAAGGAAAGGCCAAAGGAAAACGACCATCCAAAGGTCGTGGAGGTCCCGGCTCAGGCCGGGGGGCACTTCACCGTGGCACTCCAGAAGACTTGTTGGCGAAGACACGTTGTTTTTCTTGCGGGGAGTTGGGACATATCTCCAGAGACTGTCCCAATGACAGGAGCAACACTTTCTTCATTTGTCGGGGCACAGCAAGTGATCAAGCTAGAACATACATGCAGTGCACTACTAAGCAACAGCCGGTTGGCTTGAGCAACATTGAGTCGGTTGGCCTGAGCAACATTGAGTCGGTTGGCTTGAGCAACATTGAGTCGGTTGGCTTGAGCAATGTTGAGTCGGTTGGCTTGAGCAATGTTGAGTTGGTTGGCTTGAGCAACATTGAGTCGGTCGGCTTGAGCAGTGTTGGACAATCGTCGGTCGGCAGGGGAAGCGTTGACAAGTTAGTTGAGTCGCATGACATTGAGCAGTTGTCGACAGCACGTTGTGACACTGATCACATGCAGCCACATAGTGCATTGCGAATGCCTGAGACAAAGGCCTTGCAGGTCTATGCTGGAGTGGTGACTGAAGCTGGTGAAGGTATTGTGGACACCGCCGCAGAGGAGGGTGTCATTGGTTCCACTGCAATGACCAAGTTGAGGGCCGCGCTGATGAGGTTCGGACTTCAACCAGTTCCGGCAGCAGGCACCACTGTGTGCGCAGGCATTGGAGGCAATGCAAAGGTTGCTGGTGTTTTCGACGTGCCTTTGGGCATCTGCAAGTGCAATGTGTTGTTGAGGATCACGGAGATCCAGGATGAGCCTCAGTTCACGACACCTCTGTTGTTGCCGATTTCATTCATTGAGTTGGTTGGAGGTATCGTTGATACCAAGCGGAACCTTTTTCTTATGGCCAACGGCCGCAAGACACCTATGCGGCGAACGCCGTCCGGGCACCGTGCGATTTCGGTGCTAGAGTTCAAAGGGCGATGGACTCTACCGCCCATGTTGTGCTCAGAGCTTGGCATCGGAGACTCCTCTCCTTTTCATTTGGAGCGACAGTCCGGTGACAAAAGGAATCCGGTGCAACAGCCTGAGGTCGCCGTTTGGTTGAAGTTACAAGGTTCTTCGGCAATGGTATTCATGGGAGCCCTTCCACCTCGCAAGACCATGGTTCACCCTTCAGAGATCTTCAATGCCGACCAGGTGAACCTTCTCTCCCGTTTTAGGTCAACCCACGCGGTCTTCGAGGATTCGGGCAAGTTCAATTGGTATGAAGCCTGGACTATTCCCCAACAACGCCAACTCCCTTTTTGGTCGGGCAGTGTATATTTTGAGGCTCCTTGCACACCAGTGGTTTTGCGCGTTTTTGGCGTTGATGGCAAAGACTTTCCTCATGTTTATACTCCTCCTACCTCTTCACCTTCCTCGATGACTTCCACACCCCAAAGATGTTTCGACATTGGCAAGGCCGGAAGCACCCCGGCAAGCCACCAACAGCAGGCGGGATCATCGAACCGGGATGAGTGCAGAGGAAGAGAGGCTGTTTTTGAGAAAGTGTTTGCAGAGCAAGTGAAACGTGTCAACGATGTGAGAAACCCTGTTTTGCTGGAAGCAGTGAATCCGTCTTTGTCCTTGCATGGCTCACCAGAGGATCAAGGTTCGACTCAAGTGCCTTCTCGAGCCAACCATGATCAATCGGCTCACACAATGGCGTGCTCGGGAGGACGAAGAGGACCTCCAGACGCCAAAGCCGAGGTGCATGGGTCAGGCAAAGACTTTGAGCGCTTGGCATCGGCTTGCTCTCAAGATCGTCACTTTGATCATCCACTCCACAAGGCAGTCAGCCATGGATTACTTGCTGAACAAGAGCAAGACCCCAGTGGCCAAAGCCAAGAGCACATCCACTCCCAAGAAGGAGACGAAGACCAAGCAGGTGGGAGATGGCAAAGTGCGCAGGGGACTCGGCCAAGAGCTGCCTCGCTCCAAGGCCAACAAAACATGGGCACAGGAACCAACCACATGTGCCCACGACGAAGACAAGCTCCGAATGCGCGCTGGGCGTGGCCAACACTGGTGGACCTGTCTCGATTGTGGAGCGCGATGGCAAAGGCTCGAGTGGGAAATGGACAAGGCTCTGAACACTGGAGCATCTTCCTCCCAGGACGCTCCCACTCCGGTGGAACAAGAGATCGTGTCCTATGCCAAGAACCCCCCAAGGACTTTGCCAGGACCTCGACATCGACCAGAAGTACCAGCCTTGACCTTGGAACCAGTGCCAGACACCGAGGAAGAGCAGATGACAGCCGACCAGAGACTGGAAGCCTTGTTGAGACAGAGTGCAAAGACTCAAGGGAGAGTCTTTCCGAGATCGCCCAGTTCAGAAAAGCGAAAGTCGGAAACCTCATGTGTGAGGCCAATCCAGGATCGAGCACGTCCTCGCACCCCAAGACTCAACGACCGGGTGGAAGTTCACGAGATCTTCTCCTCCGGCGAGGACCTGTCACAGGAGGGAACCTTCTCGGTGGTGTCCCCATGACTGCTAAGGACACCCAGAATGTGGCTGAGCTTCCCACGTCTCACGACTGCACTACGAGCACTACGATGGAAGACTCAAGCCCAAAACCTTTTTGCTTGAAGAGCTCTATGACCTTACCGAGCTCTATTTCTCCGAAGGCTAAGCCACCTCAACCGCGGCCGATGCCAAAGGCAAGCGGGCCTTCATCCACGTCGATGAGCACGTCCCAGACGAGATCGGCGGTGGCAGCCCTCACTGCATGTGTCACTATACTTTGCTTCGTTCCCGGTTCAACCTGTCATCTCGACTGGATTGGACCTCGGCTGGAGGCCACTGGAAAGAAGCAAGAAGAATTCGAGTTTCTTCTGAGCACCAGCTGCAAAGAGCTGGGCCGAACTGATTTTGATGGAGAGCCCAAGTCACTTGAACGAGGTCAACGACAGTACTTGGTTGGCCACCTCAAACACTTCAACGAGGTGATCGGGGAAGTCTACAGTCCACCACGATGCACAAAGGAAGCCCGCAAGCAGGGATTCAAAGCCTCCATAGCCATGGACCTTTCCACCGGTTGGGACTTTCGGGAGCCAAAGGATCGCCGACGTGCCCTACAATGCATCGCCGAGAAAAGACCTGCCGTGCTGGTCCTCAGCCCTCCATGCACAGCATTTTCACGATTGCGAGCTTTGACGTCGTTCAAACGTCGCGAAGCAGATGTGAGAAAGGAGTTAGAGGAGGCAATGACACATATGCGGTTTTGCATATCCTTGTGCAAGTTGCAACAGAAGCAGGGGCGAGGATTCATCCTCGAGCAACCCCGAGATGCGACATCGTGGACGATGCCTGAGATGGTATCCCTGTTGGAGGAGCCCGAGGTCTATAGACTGTGCCTCGACCTTTGTCAGTTCGGTCTCCGAGCTACCAAAGGACCATACCAAGGGCAACTCGTCAAGAAGCCCACAGCTCTTATCTCCAACATCCCCGAACTAGCCAAGCACGTCGAGAAGAAGTGCGACAAGTCTCATGCCCACGGACAACTCCTTGGCGGTGCGGCCAAACCAGCAGCTGAATACACACCCAGCTTCGTTCAGGCCATTCTCAACGGTGTGAAGGAAGTACTGGGTTTGAAAGTCTCGACTCCAACCTCCAAGTCAGCATCGACAAGCCACTGGGTCACCTATGGTCGAACCCTCGGTGCTGCCGCTCGCAACTACGCCACAGACCAAGTGGAACTTGAGGAAGAGGTGTTCTTGGCCTACCAGAGCTTCGGGCATCGGTCAAGTTTCCCTGTCAATGTGGAGGAAGATGTGGACATGGAGGATGTTCTTGGAGAAGAGGCACCAAGACCTGAGGAACCAGAGGAACATGATGCTGTGTCGGCCGTCCGTCGTGAGCTCCGAGGGCTTCAAGACAATCCAGGATTTGCCAAAGCCATGCAAGAAGTCGAAACATTTGAAGACATGAACGATGAGCCAAACACCCTTGCCCCACAACTTCGACGAGAAGTGCATCGAGTCCACCGAAACATCGGCCACCCAGGAAAAGAAATCTTCTTGAGAGCCTTGAAGAATGCAGGTGTTCGTGATGAGATTCTGCAATGGACCAAAGCTCATTTCAGATGCCCAACCTGTGAGGCAAGGACTCGACCAAGTCCGGCCAGACCCGGACACCTTCTTCGTGCCCTCGAGTTCAACCAGGTGGTCGGCGCGGACTTGTGCTTTGCAGACCTGTTCAACGAGCAGGTGATTCTCCTCAACGTTCTTTGTTGGGGAACAAACTTTCAACAAGCCTACATCTGCAAGGACAAGTCAGCTGAAGAAGTCCTGGAAGCATTTATGAGATGCTGGATACAACCATTTGGGGTGCCCAGCCTCTTAGTCCTGGACCGAGGCAAAGAGTTCGACAACCACCTCTTCAAGCAGACAGTGGGAGGACTGGGGGTCGGGCTACACTATACAGACCCTCAGTCGCCATGGCAGAACTCGAGAACAGAAAAAGCAGGAGGACTTCTGAAAGAGAAGCTGCGGTGCACCATCCATGAGACCACGGCCTCTCGAGAGGAACTCCAAGTCGTACTCGCCGAAGTGGTCGCTGCTCGAAACAGATACATGGACCGATTCGGCTTCAGTCCAATGCAAAGAGTGTTTGGCAAGAACTTGAGATTGCCATCGTCCTTGTTGTCCACCGACACCCTGAACCGAGACCTTGTAGAGGCTGCAGCTCCAGATGCCATAAAGAGGTCTTGGGACATCAGAGACGCAGCCGCCAGAGAGTGGTTGAAGAGACAAGACTCCAATGCAGTTAGACGAAGCCTCAAAGCCAACTCCAGAACCGCTGATCTGAAACCGATCCCGGCTGGGACCTGGATCTATGTTTTTCGGGACACTCCGTCCTATCGAGGGTGGGTTGGTCCGGGAGTCGTCATTGCCGAGGACTTCACGAACCGCTCAGCCTGGGTCTCCATGCGGGGCCGACTGTGGAAGGCCAGCCGAGAGCAGATCAGGCCAGCAACGCCTGAGGAAGAGTTAGGTGCTGAACTGATTCTGGAGTTGTCGCAAGAAATGCTACAGAAATTGAAGAAGCCAGGACAGATAGTCTACCAAGACATCACTCAGGAGGACGGTCCGGCTGAAGACGACTTGGACGGTGATGCGGTGCGACAGGTGTTGCGGGTTCGAGAAAACGATCCTCATGGTGAACCACACCCGGCTGCACCTGCACCAGCACCCGTCAGCCAGACCGACAGCACCCACCAGCCTGAAGACGTGGAGATGGATAGCGAGGAGCCATCGTCCCTTCCAACCACTTCACTCAACCCAAGTCGAAGAGTGAGTATCCTAGAACCCACTGAGGAGAGACTCCCTATGGAAGGCATCGTCGAAGAAGAAGGAGCAGCGCCAGAGGCTTCCGCCAGTGAACAGCCTCGAAGAGTCATCAGAGTGGATGAAAATGGGGATGGAGCCATGACATTCGGTCCCATCCGCAGATCAGACGGTCGCCTGACAGAGGTCCCAGAGACCCCTCCTGTTGGAGCGCCAATGCCCTACCCAATGAATAGAGGGACGCCGCCACTTCCAAGACCACCTCCCAGTTCCTACTACATCGAGGTGATAGACTTCGACAAGGATGAGGACCTGCGGCACTTGGGAGTGAGAGCGCCCTTCATTGGCGCAACTTGGAGATTTGACCGTGAACAAAGAAAGCCTGTCCTTCTTCCACGAGCCTTGTCGGATGGTAAAACCTTCCACGGGGCATATGCCGAGGCCTCCTACTGCTACCGAGACAAGTGTCATTATGTGACCAAGTCCAAAGCTTCTTTTGGTCAAGTGCAGTTTAGCAAACTGGACGAGAAAGAAAAGGAAGTTTTTCGGAAAGCAAGAAAGAAGGAGTTGGATAGTTTGATTTCCAATGGAGCCGTCCGAGTGCTTTCCTTGTCTGAGAGTAGAGCTTTCGAGCGGGATTTTCCAGACCAGGTCATCGATTCCAAGTTTGTTGACAGATACAAACCAAAAGACATCGGCACGGACACCATCGAAGAATACAAACGTCGTGCAATTCAAGAGGGTCACATGGGTGTTTGTGAGCTTGAACAAGACCAACAGAGTCCGAAATCTAGACTTTGTGTTGTTGGTTGGATGGACCCACAGATTCATGAAGTTGAGAGGTCCAGTCCAACCCCCCTCAGCACGAGCCTCCACTGCTGTCTCCAGCTTGCAGCTACCAGGCAGTGGTCGACTCGAGTGAAAGATGTGAAAACTGCGTTTCTCCAATCGCTGCCGACCACTCGAGAAAAGAAACTAGCAGTGAGACAACCCAAAGACGAAACCTTGCCAGGGTTGGAAGAGGGTCAGTTGTTGTTGCTACTCACTGAAGTCTATGGTTTAGTGAGTGGGCCATCATGGTGGAGACGAAGCTTTCTCAAAATTGCCACCGAACAGCTGGGATATTCGTTGAACTGTTATGATCGGTGTGTGTTGACTTTGGGAAGCAGCAACGCCAGCCAGTCAGCGAAAACCGAAGGGTTCATTGTTCTCGAAGTTGACGACATTGCTGAGGCTGGATCACCACTTCATGTCAAGAAAATGCAACAACTGGAATCTCTCCTTAAATTTGGCAAGGTTGAAGATCTCCAATCCGCATCTGGAAGCAATTACGCTGGGAGACACATCAAACAGCTCCCTGATTTTGGATTCGAGATTTCAATGGATGAATACATTTTCACTCGGTTGGAACCTATTCAGTTGGGTAGGAAAGTGTTGGTCAAAGATGCTGCGACAGTCAAACTGACAGAAGGCGAAAAGTCCCAACTGAGAGGACTGATCGCCTCATTGAATTGGGTCGCATGTGAAGGCAGACCAGACGGCGCAGCGGCTGCCAGCATCTTGGCATCCGCATTCCCAGACCCATGTGTCAGTCACATCAACGCCGCCAACGACATGGTCAGGCACTTGAAAACGTTTCCTGTCAAACTGAAGATCCATCATGTGCCAGAACCCAAGTTGAGGCATTTGTTGATTGCCGACAGCAGCTTCGATACATCCGGTCGTGAAAAAAGTCAACACGGATGGTTGCTCGGATTCACGAATGATCGCATGAATCTTGGAGAACGATCGCCTGTTTCTCTTATGCAATGGCGAAGTAAGAGATTGAGAAGAAAGGCCGCATCATCATTGTTATGCGAAGCAATATCAATGAGCGCTGCAACAGGTGCTTTGGAAAAACAAGATGCATTCATGGAAAGCATCCGACTGGCCAATTACTGTCCCCGTTCCCGCCAGCGAACTGAAGACGAGTACCTCAGCCTGGCCGGAAAGTCGACTGTACTGGCCAAAGAAAGCAATCACTTTGTTGACCCCCGAGCACTGGCAGTTGTCGATGCAAAAGCATTGTTTGATGCTCTCCTTTCAGATCAACCACAGGGCCAGGACGAACGGGCTTCATTAGAAATCTCCATTATTCGTGAATCGCTCACTGTTGTTCTTGGACGCCCTCGGTGGATACCTCACAATAGAAACCCTGCAGATTCGCTAACCAAACTGCACGGGGCACATGTGGAGCCCATGTTGGAACTGCTAAGCACAAACAGTTTCTGCATAGAAGAAGAACAGTCAGTGTTGCAGCAAGGAAGGCAATCGGAGAACCGCCAGAAGATTGGCCTGAAAGGTCATGGAAACAGAATCTTTTGGGGGCTGACGGACTTGATTCATGAATCTAAGAGACTCTAACGGATTTCCATGACCTTGTTCTGAATGTGACCGCCTCTAGGCGCCTTGGGCTCTGTGTGTGAAAAGTGTAGACCGTTGAATCTCGATCGCGGTGCGCTCATGTCGTGTTGATTTGGTTTGTGAAACAGTTGTTCTTGGCTGCTGTTCTCATACAATACAGTAGCCCTTTCGATCGAGAATTGTTCAAATGACCATTCACCATGGAATGTTTCCCCCCTCCACCCAACCCCGCCATATGGGCCATAAACAGAACATCATTGTGTGGTCGCATATACAAGAGAACGTTACACAGCGGATGGTCCAAAAAACCCAAAGGAAAATGCAGGGGCCAACTCCGCTGAGGATGCCCCAGACTGACATGAAGATGTGCCAGACTTCCATGCTTTCATGCTTCACCTGTGACTTGACCGTCCATCCGACTGGCCCCCGGAAAGCTCATCGCTCTTCGCTCTTCCCGGAAGAAAACGGGTCTTAGGACGGTGATCCAATCGGATAGCATCCAGATGAAGTCCATCGAGGAGGTGCCAGGTTTTTCGTGTATACGGCGCAATGAAAAGCCGTGGGGTGCCTGCGTCACTTCGCGATATGTTTTGATTGTGAAGGATTGTGAAAGTGATTTGGCCTGTCCTTTTGTTACACGAAAACCGGGAACGGTTGGACCCTGGACCATTGCTCATATGCGCAGTTCAATGTTTTTCTACTTATTATATTGGTTGTAAATGTCTGGAAGCTCCTCCAAAAAGGATCAACGAAGTTAACTTGTGAACACATGGCATTGCCCATACTCAGCTGTAGATGCGCCAAGCCTCGTTCTTTTCCAGTCAGGCGAACCGCTGGTGGAATCTGCCACACCACCTGCCACCTGAGCCGTGCTTGTCATCGCTTTGCTTCAGGGCATCCGCGAGGGCATCGCCGAACTGTTCTGGGGCACCCTGCGGCAGGCCGTTCCGCGCATCTGCAGCATCAAGTAACCTGCGCCCGTTCATGATGCGTCCAGATGTACCCCGGCTTACACCCCATCCATATTACTTTGCATCATCTTACCATACTGGCCTAGCTATATATCATATGCTGGTGCAAGAAACTCCAAGTTTCTCACGAGGGGAAACATACTTTTCGAGTCGACCGACTCGGATGGTTTCTGTCCGGTCAGTCAGGATGAGAGCGGCAAAGTCGTGGGTTGGGATTGGTGCAAGAACCGCCCCTCGTGTGAGCCCCAGCATCGGTTTCTATCAAAACCCTCGGTCTGGCCGAATCAGGGCGCACCAGGACACACCAGTGTATGTTCTGTGCTGGGTCTCTCCTGAGATGATTTGATACATTTTTATCAATTTGTTCATTTTGCACAGACCTGAAGAACTGTAAAGTTCATGTTCTTTGGACCGCCAGTAGCATTTGAGGTGCAGTCCGCCTGAAATCACGGCTCGGGATGCCTAGTGGGATCCAGTAGGCAGTGAAGGGCCAAGTTGAGATGGCAGCCTGTTGCCATGACATTTTTTGCCGAAAAGTCGATGAATATCAAGCTGGCTTCGCAGCCGTTGTGGCAGCTATCCCCTTGGGGGTTCAAGCATCAAATTAGCTGAATGGCTCTTTACTTGACATCTCCTGGCCCTAGCCAAGTCAGTCTCCCTGCATGTTGTTGAATCCCAGGGCAACATGCTTGTTCTTGTTGAAACCTGCCCAGAGATGAGAACAAGGATTGCGCGCCACTTTACTACAATGCAACGTGGTGTTAGATAGATACTCCTGGGCCAACTTTGAATGCCTGCAGATTTCTGCAGATCAAGGTGTTTTTGTTGCAGTCATGGTGTCTTGCTGGGGTTCATACTTAGCCAACAGCAATGGCAACAGAAGAGAGAAGTCCTTCCGATTGGGTAGAACGATCGGATTGGATAGCTTTTTTTGAAGCTCAGATTCTCCCCTGTTGCCTTAGAGGGTGGGACATGATGCCAGCATGATAGTGACCATTTCCTAGGCACTAGGCTAGGCTCAAACACCGTCCTCTTTGCAAAACGATTCTTCTATTTCTGCTTCTCATTGGCACTTGGACCCCAGGATTCTTCAGGCGTCTCGATTCCTGAGAGCTCTTGGCACCGGTGCGCACAGAGCGGTTTTTGACACGCCAGCGGCGAGGACTGTCCACCCTCCGAGCTGTACACCTATGTCTCCTTTTGCAAGAAGGCCGCTCCCCTCGGGCGTAAAGTCGAAAGGGAGGGAGGAAGGAAGGGGAGGAAGGGACGCCTGGTCTTGAGGATGAGGTGTTGTTTCTAGACTATAAACGAATCCCCTTTCTGGGCAACAACAAATATATATCTATATATCAATATACATGCATACATATATATTTATATTATGTTAGTTTTTTTTCCAGTTCCTTAAGTACATCATCCAAGGATGTGTCAATGCCGAGATATTCTCTCAGAACCTTAGGACTTTTCTAATCTGTAGATCACATTGATCACATTCTCCCCTCTCAGAGGACTTCGATCCTGGATTTCACTCACTTGGTGTTTTTCTTTTCCATCTCTTTCCCCTTCTCGTTGTCCTTGTCGGTACCGGCATGCTCCTTGGATTCCGTGCAGCGTGTTTGCACACGGCAGATGCATACGGAGAAGGACCAGCAGAAGATCAGTATTCGAAGCTTTCGCTTGGTCATCGGGCTGAGGAGTACAGTGGCGGGATTATGTGTTTTCTTTTCTCAAAGGACATGGGTGGAGTGTTTGTTTGGTTTTGGACTTGTGTGGTACAAGGTGAGCCAATGGCTTCAGTGGTAAACCAAGAATTAGAGGCTTTAGGATCTTATGCCACTTCCTATCACAAGACTCACGAGAACAGAACCTCAAGTATCAGGCACGCAGGTCAAGCAAAGAAGCTGTGAAACCTCTCTTTGCTGGTCAATCAGGGCAATGAATCAAACGATAGAGGATTGCAACAGCTATTTCTGAGCAAGATCAGAGGTGTGTTTCTTGAAATTCAGAAGGATGTCCTTGTGACATCTTGTGACATCCCATGACACCTGCCTTTCGCCCCTCGCTTGTCTGCAGATTCGCCCCACGGCCATCGGAACATGACCGGATTCAGGTCGAAGATGACGAAGTGAGGGCCGAAATGATGAAGGCGCTGATGATGCGGAGACGTCATAGGGTTTTCCATGGATCCTTCATGATCCTTCCGGATGCGGAAACGCTCTGATGCTGTGTTTGGTCGTAGAACCATCAGGAATCACCAGCACAGCTACTTTCAGGTACTTGACTTGGCCATGAAGAAGTTGCAGCTACCAGCCGAGGCAGGCTAGTTTAATCCCAAGTGCCAGACTGTATGCGCAATTGATTGGAAGAGAGGTTTTCTGCAAGCAACACTGACTTCTTGAGCCAATTGAGTTTGTGTATTTGCAGCAGAAGGCTAGATTTTGACTGGTGCAGCCTTGAAGGAGAGTAATTACATGTGGGGATGTGATGACATGATGTTACCTGCAGACTGATGGCTCAATTCATTTAGATGGGCCTTTGGGGTTGCTTCGTTCTTCGGCCGACCGGACCCGTCACGGTTCGGTTCTCGCGATGCAGGACTCGGTGACACCTCAGGATTTCTATGGCTTGCGCTGCAATTGGGCAAGCAAGGATGGCAAAGACTGCAAGAATTCCACAGATGCTATTTGTTGGATCACTTCCTGCCAGCATGTCCTTTGTGATGAGCATGCCAAGCTCGCATTTGCCAGTGGAGATTCATGCCCCATTTGTGGCTACGAAGCAGCGAAAGTCATCAAAGCGAATCTGTCCAGAGAGGGACGTGCTCAAGCAAGGAAAGGTCTTTTGCCAGGCCTCACACCTTCCGAGATCATGGATTCGGCCGCCCGGAACATCGAGTTCTGGGTTCGACAGAAGGCTCTGGAATGCATGCAACGGAAGAAGTGCCGCGTGCAGATGGAGAAGCGCAGCGAAGAGATGTCCAAGTCCGCAGAAGAGCAGATCCAGGTCTATCAACGGAAGTGTCAGCAGCTGGAGGAGGAGCAGGTGGCCTTGCAGAAGAAGTTGGACGACTTGGAATCTGACCGCAACAGCGTGCAGTTGAAGATCCAAGCCTTGCAACGGGACTGTTCTAAGGCCGAACAGCGTTGTGAACGTGTGCACCGCCAAATGGGTCAAGTTGAGACCATGCTTCCAACCAGCTTCGGCTTGAGACAGAGCCAGACCAGCTCTTTGCCGATCACCCAAGGTCTTTCACCGGCCCGAGGCGATCGGCGCCCGGAGGTCGACTCGGGGCCCCGATCGGAGCCCCGAGTGTTCAATTTCGAAGGTGCTCATGGGGCTTTGTCGCCGGGCAGACTGGGAGTTGGTGCAGTCCAGTCTTCCTTTGGTCATTTCTTCGACCACAAACCCAGCTTGACCGGCTTCAACGGCTTGACCTTGCCTGGCAGCCCCAAGCGCGGCCCGGTGCGATCCGCTCCACTCAATTCGGCCTTCTTCGGCTCCGCGAGGATGTCAAGGCGTCGGATAACATGAGTGCAGAAGACAGAGCAGCACAGTCAGTGCTTCCAGCATTTGATCTCTTGCGTGAAGATGTCTCGTGAAGATGTCTGAAGGCATTGACTAGTGGTTGTTAGTCAGTGCCAAGACTATGCCAAAGAGCCTGGCTAGTCAATTTAGCTATGACACAAAACGTTTCAAAAGGGAATGTTGCACCGTCCCAGCGCCTGCATAGTGGTGCGCAACAGATCTTAAGAATTTGCTTTGCATATCGTGGGAAAAAAAAACATTGCGACAGATTTGCAATTCAGTGCAAGATGCATTCATCCCCTCTCTCTCTCTCTCTGCTGATGGAATGCCACAGAATCCTGGACTTTATCTGATTGTATCAGTTTTTCGCGCAGGTGTTGAAGGAGGAAATCTTGCACCACGTGAGATTGACATATAGATTCGCATGGGCTGCCATGAAGCTCCCAGTAGAGCTTTTAGAGCTGTTGTTCTTTTTCATATTATGTGGATTCCCTTGGCATTTCT